ACCACTCCAGTTCTGTACATTAAGCCTGGAACTGAGAAATGAGGCAGTAACAGTGTGTCCACAGCAACAGAAGGTAAGCTATTTGCTCATTTGCTGGCTTACTGGGGTTTTAAGTGACAAGGTAGGAAACAAGTAGTACAAGTACTACTGGAAGAACATACTTTTGTATACTGTGAGCAGCAATATACTTTTTTTGACACTGTCTGCTGGAGCAACACACGAGAGTCTTCTACCTCTCATTTAACAAGCAGAACTTGTTAGGAAAATGGAACGTACAGATTTCTAACAATACTGGGTTGGAAAAGGTAACAGCTTAGTTACAGGTTCCCTAGTTTTAAGCTTTATTTCAGTTTGCCAGTTCTTGTACTTTTCTGTTTCTGAACTCTGTTTATGTGATTGTTTTAAAATTAAAAAAACCCGCATCTAAGTTCCCTAGCACACAGAGGTGAGAAGGTAGAAAGCTACAAAGTCATCTTCATATGACTAGAAAAATACAATGTGATTATGAAAGGAGCTAGCATGAAGATTAACAATGTAAGAATGAATAACAATGGAAGAATGGGGATGGAAGAACTCTACACACTATGACATTCACAATCATCCTGCCCTGTCCTCCTACATCCTTACTGCAACACATTTTTACAAGCAAGCTGGTTTAGTTAAAAATTATTATCCACATCATCAGAAACCTCTCACACTGCTTTCAACTTTACTTTCAATTTCAACTTTCAACTGGGGGTAAAGTCTGCAGTCAAGAAATTCAGCACACACACATGAAATCCACTCCACCTTTCTAATGAAAGGGCAATTAATGCACAAAATTTATGTACAATTATGTACTGTCACATACAAAACCCAAACCAAATCCATGCAAGTAACCCATGATCAGGCAAGTCAGTGGCAATGACAGGAAGTTTAATATACTTAAGATAGAATGTTGCTGATACAATGCTAATGGATTTCAGGATAGGTTTTGTTTCTCTTTTACACAAAGGCTGCTCAGGTGACATTCCATGACACCACAGTACACTGCCAGAATGCCTCTGTTAAAAATAGCTTCTAATGTTGCTGCTGTCCCTGAGGTATGTTATACCTCTGCCCAGAAACTGTGATTAACAGCGTCAGTACCACCATACAGTCAACACCAGCTGAGAAAAGTACAGTCATCTATTTTGGTGTCTAGACTCTTTCCCACTACCAAAATATCTCATGAACAAGACCCACCATTTAATGTTCAAAAGCCACTCTTTCAACTCACAAAACTTGCACATTTACCGTGTTTCTAACTTCTCCCTAACTGGATAAGAGGGGGTAAGAGATGTATGGACATAGCCCAAATGAACACACTACTTTGTAAACGTAATTTTGCATTTTGATTTTTTTACATTTAGCCCCTCTATCCTAAGTTCATAGTGCTAGAATAAAAAAATCTCAGAAAGGTATGAATAGAGCAAAACCTAACACGGTGTTTTTTGCTCTGAGGTGGATCAAAGATCTCGACTCAATCAGTATTAAACCCCCTCATTTTCTTGCCCCAACTGTAAAATGCACTGTCACGCTTTAACTTTCCTCAGGCTGTTTACCTTTATTGAAAGGTACTTGCTGCTTTTGGCGTTGTTAACTATCACACAATGATGATGTCAGTGTCTTTGAGATCATTACGTGGCAGTGCACGCTTACTATCTTATCAGTAGCAATGAATTTCTTGCTGAAATCGAGGTGTTACACAACTGCTTTATTCTGACTATGAAACATGGGGAGATCTACTTTGTGAACTGGGCAATAATGCAATGACAACTTCCCCCTTCCAATACCATCTTCTCAAGAGGGCAAATTAGACCAAAACTTTCATCACGAAAACATTTTTGATACTCCTCAAAACTGCTCTGATTACAAGCATACGTGAGCATACATAGGCAACTTAAAAGCAGACTTAAGCAGTGATCGTATTTTCAGGTATATGCATACATGACAGTACGCTTCAAGCTCAACTTTTAATACGTACAATGACAAAAGACAGAAGTCTAGTTCTTATAATACACTAAGAAGAGACAATCCTCCCCCCCCAACATTTTATGAAGACTTTTCTTTAATCATACATAAAATTCATAACTATTTCAGAGCAGAAACACTGAAGAGAGGCTTGGTCACTGACTAGGACCCAAGAAATTTAAAGAGAAAAAAAAAAAAAGCCACACAATCAAACACCTACCTAATCCCATACAGAACAGCAGATTATTATGTCAAAATAAAGAGGACTTCAGCCATTCACCTGTTTGTATCTTCTTCTAACAAAGAACCATTTGCACGAAACATCAAATCAAAACACTCTCCTTACCCCCAAACCCATTAGGCTTATTTTAGTCTACCTATGTAAACAAGAACTTTGAGGATGTAGTCACTGAAATTCATATTTACTAAACAGCCTATGACATGTAATCCTAGAAGCAGTAATTTAGTTATCAGTTGGTCATGCCTTCTCCTTCTGCCTAAAACAAAATCACAGCTTAATGTTAATAAAACCCAGCATACCTTCAAGGAAGCACTGCAGGTTAAAAGAGATTTTAGTTTTTCTTTTTTAAGACTGCTTATATCTTTCCAGGCCTTACAAAAGGACCAAGTATATAATTTACATTTTGGAGCAAGAGGGAGGTGAAAGATTCAAGATAAGCGGAAGAAATTTTTCAAGGCAGCATTCACTTAAATGAAGCATTCAGACTGTAGTAGCTCTACAAAGGCTATACTCAAGAATTCTTACAATGCCTTCTCGTTTCACCTAGCCATTATCTTATTTCTTATTCATCTTTCAAAACTATTCAGTTAGAACTTATGCTTTGCTACACTATGTTCATCATCAACAAAACTGTTTTTACAGCCATCTGTATTTAGTTCCCAATTTTGATTTGGCAAGAATATTGGAAGTTACTCTACTGAACAATTTCTCCTCAGTACTCCATCCTATCCCAAAGAGGCCATCTACCTATCCATACCTAAACTCATCTTCTTTCTCAGACTGCATTTGAAAAATCATTTTATTTCTCACTAACCCTTCCCCACCCCATCAACACTTCATGAATTAGACAAAAAAGTTTGCAAGCTTCTGTGTATCACCGGAGGGCATAAAATAGAAAAGCCTACTGGGTGCCCTGACAGCACAACAGCGAAAAGGCAAACATTAAAATCTCTTACATGCAAGTTCTGCATTCACACACATTTCAGCTGTTGGTGGACAAAAGAGAAGCTTCCACAAATCATTCCAGTTCTTAGGTTCAAAGACAGGCAAATTATGTGAGCCTTAGTTCTTAACTCCTATGGTAAACTGATCACAGAGGAAGTACTCTCACACTGATCTAAACTCACTGACAGTTCTGATGCTCTCCTACAGAACATGTCGCTTGCTCTAATGAAGCAGGTGAATGAAACTACAGTGCCACACAGAGGGTCTGCTCTGACACCTTATCTTCACAGAAGCTGGTTCGATGTGTTTCATCCCTTTGTTTCAGAACACAGTGGAAGAAGTGCAGGAGAAGCAGCAGCTGCTCTCCAAACAAAGGCACTGATAGAATGGTATACACAGACGTCAAATACCAGAAAGGAATAAAGGTAGCACAAAGATTTCTGATAAATCCAGACCCTGTCATCTAACTTCTACTTTTGTTTGGTACAAATATGACATCTAGTATTGTCACTATTCATCTTTTCATCTGAGAAAGACTACTATTGCAAAAGTGAAAAAACCCACAAGTGGACACTGTATCTGACACATGCAAGCGTAACTCCTGTTAGCACAGTCTTGGGAAACAAAGAGATAGCAAATAAATATTTGTACATGAAGACCAACTATGCATAACATATTCTAAGTTTATGCATAAAGTTTTGCCCTTAAAATTCCCATCTCTTGTGTCAGAATCAAAACCAATTTTTTTTTCCTCCCAAACTTTAACCAAAGGCCTTTCCAAATGTAAACCTGCAGCTTTGCACTCTGGCTTACACTTTCAAACACTCAGGGCAAAGTTTAATAATGTAAAGATTTCCCCCTTTTTTAAAAGCAGATGTTTATCCAGCATTCAGCTATCTAACAGCAACAATATTGTGAGGTTCAGGGCCCAGAATGATTGAATATTATTAATGAGAACCATCAAGACTCCAATTCTGTTCTTTTAGGGGGCTACACAGTCTATATATCTCAGGCAATGTGGTGAAAGAGCTCTGGTATCAAAAATAAATTTCAGTTAGTTGAAAACCAAGCTGTTTCAATTTGACTCAAGCAATATCTTTTCTTCCAGCAGAGGGAGGAGAGTTTATCTTGGCTCAGACCAGAATTTCTTCTTGATGCAAAATGAAACATTGCATAAGACTATGCAACTACAGACATCTCACAATGCACTGCTTCAGACTCCTGAGACACAAAGTGGTAATTCCAGAAACAAGCTGTTACTTGGTTTTAAGAAATTAAATCTCCTTTTAATCCAGATTATTCCAGATTGTACTGAAATAAATGCATTTTATTTACCAAGAAGTTTTTTCTATAGGAGAAATATATTCTGTGAAAGGAATATAGACAGATACCCACATAAAGCTCAAACGGAGAACATGAATCTAAATAAAGACTTCACTGATTTAATTCACATTCTCATACAAATGAGACTATGATTTGTGAAAGGCAGAGGATATACTTCTTGCCCTTATACTGCAGTCAACTGAACTATTAAGAGTAGTTTTTATCTTAAATTTAGATCTTGTTCAGCTGAGGAACATACTTAATTTTGAAAAACATAATTAATACTGATCATAGTCTTATTTACTCAGACAAATGGCTATACAAGGAGAAATGAATATCTGGACTTTAATCTTTCCTTATATACAGACAGCAGCAAAGTTACAAAAACCTAATGAAGTACACATCATCTTAACCAACAACAGCTATGTTATAAAGATGTCTCTATATATTCATATTAAATTTTATGATGTACTCACAGACATGGGGTTTTTTTCGGTACCTGCAAGTAAGGTTAGGGTCAGCATTCCTTGTCAGCAGCACTTCCACAGTCTTCAAGACTTTTTCCTCTGAAGTATGTGCGGTGCACGCTGCCATCAGCACAGTGTACTTATCTGTTTTGAAATTTGCAGTTAGAGAATTACTTGTGTAAATGTAAACACTATGCTAATCCAGAAGCTCCTTTAAAAGCCTTTACATTTGTTAGACTTGTTAATCGGGTTCTGATACTCTAAAATATTTAGAAAATGGTAAGAAATTTGTTTTCCTTCCAGCGAAAGTCACTCGAAATAACAGGCAAGGTAAAGGCATCTGAGAAGACACTCAGAAAGATGAGAGTGAATGACAGTAGTAAAGCATCTAATCCTACTGAAGTCTAGGATACCTCTTAAGTACCCCCCGAAAATCAGTAGGAGCTGAACTATAGGTGCTTGTTCCTCAAATCTTGTTTTATACCAGTACATTCACTCCCTGTTCCTCTCCACCTCTCCCCAAAATACAGTCAAGGGAAGAAACAAAGTTAACTGCAACAGATAAAAAAAGTGCATGAAACGTATTATAAAAACATAGCAACCTCAGTTCTATGGAGAACAGAGGCAAGTATAAAGGACAGTTCCAGTAACAAAGCTTTATTATATGGCTGAAGAAGGAAGTAAATTTACTAGAATGCTGAGGTATAGCAGTGGCCAAAGATTAAAGCTGGGGTTTAGATGTGTGTTTAAAGAACATCTACAGTCCAGAAAGATTCACCAGGAAGAACCAGTGTAGTCGCTCCAGCTCTGAAGGCAGCTGGGTGTTATATGCCACCTTGGCTCACAAATCAGAATTCTACGCCACTGCTGTCTGCCCACAGAACAGGGGGGATCTCCCTTCCTATGGTTCTCCTAGGGATGTGGGAAGCACCATACCTCAAGGACCTTAAGACTGCCATTTGAATAACTGCCCATTCTGCTTGTTGCACAAACTTGTTCACAAGTTCAAACATGCCTTTAACAATATGTTTTAACGAGTATAATTTTAGCTGTACCTACTTCAGACCGTATCATGAAGTGTTACAATGTATTTTCAAATTCTCTTGTAGATATTTTAAGACTGTGTGTATATTAACACCTTTATTCTTCAACTGAGGTCAGATGTTATTTAAACATGGAAAGTTTGTTCTGTACTTTACCCTTCTCTGCTTTACTTTCTTTCTTTCTTACCACTTCTTGTCCCTGACACCACCAAAGACCTTAGTTTTGCATTCAAATTCATCTGTTTCTTAATATACCATCTTCTAATTTTCAACTCCTCCTGTAAAAGTTCTAACACACATAATACAACGTTAAATGAAAATTTCAGTTTAAAAGAGTCACCTGAACTCCTGAACAATAAACAACCAACATTTTAGTAAACTGATCTGACAGATTTTTATTCAAATGGTTAACTTGGTTATCAACAACAACATGAATGGAAAGATGGCAGGACACCGAGCAAAGGCAGAAATAAGCACCATTAAAAGTAATAAGCACCATTAAAAAACAGTTACATTTGTATTCAGTATTTCAGGTAATGATAGAGGGAAATTAATTTCTGTTAGCATACTCATAGCTCATACGTGTGAGCAAGAGAAGAAGGGGAAGAAACACTTTAGAATTCTCAGGTTTCTCTTTTGCTGAGAAAAACTGGTAAGAGACTGCAAAAAAGATTAGTTTATGTTCAGCCTAGCTGAAAAATCCAGATGAGCCAGTGAATTTACTCCAAGGCTTCTGCATTCTGATCCCATCACAGTGAATGTTACTTTAGTTCTTTGCTCTTCATGACTACAAAAAAGGTAAAATTAATTAACCACTTAGAAAGAAGACTGAAACATGACGAAAGGTGATTAACAGTATAGCTATTATTAGGATTATAAGCATTATAGGATAATTAGCAAAGGACCAATTATGTGATTGTCTACTGATGTAAAAAAAGCAGGACAACTGGTGACATTTAGCAGCATTTTAGGATGGCATAACTTTACTGAATACATATGGCCTGATCTTAATCAGTGCTCTGCTACATATGCCCCAGCTACTTACTGTTTCACTACACAAACTCCTAGGGAAACAAGCTAAGAAACCTGATCCTAGCAGCAAGGTGTCACTGAGGGCAAACACATTTGGTCACACACTGAAGAAACATGAAACACAAAGAACTGGCTGGATGGCCACACGCAAAGTTGTGGTCAGTGGCTCAATGTCCAGCTGGAGACCAGTAATGAGTGGTGTCCCTCAGGGATCGGTGTTGGGACTGGTCTTGTTCAACATCTTTGTCACTGACATGGACAGGGGGATTGAGTGCACCCTCAGCAAGTTTGCCGATGACACCAAGCTGTGTGGTTCAGTCGATATGGTGCAAGGGAAGGAATGCCATCCAGAGGGACCTTGACACGCTTGTGAGGTGGGCTGATGCCAACCTCATGAACTAGATGATCTTAAGGTCCTTTCCAACCCTAACCTATGATTCTGTGATTCTATGTTGGTTAACTGGTCAGCCGCAACTGTTGCCCACAGCAGTTTCTGCACCATTTATAGCTCTCTACAGCCATCAAGCAGGACCAGGTGTGAGTTGTAGGCAGCTGTAGGTGTAGGCAGCCACATGGAAGTTCTAAGTTGGCTACAAGGACAGTGATTTGAAGGCATGATTGCTTTTGGTGCAGGCAATCTACTCTAACCTCATTCTCTGATGAGATGCTAAGATCTCAGGAAAACTTTCTGAGGTATATTTGTATCATCTGCATTTCAGTCTACTACTATTACAAACATTGACAAGTTATTGGATAATATGATTACTGCTTTTATGTACTTGGTAGTGTTGTGTGTCGTATGTTTCTCCTATATTGCTGTGGTTTTTCTTTAACTTCGATAAATCTTCCAACACAATGAAAAAGAAGGAAAGTAACAATAAGTAAGAAAAAGTTATTATGCCATTATAATTGATAGATGAACTGAGATTACTTTGAAGCTCCACTGAACTTTTGCAGAATATGGTGATTTAACAAGACACCGACAAAGAGTTTTCACTTTATAGAGAAATGTGCTCTAGTTTTAGAAAAGTCCACATTAGTTTTCCAGAAACTGTAAAGTTATTCCTGTTCTTTGGCATTCTATCTGGTTTCTGTGTGTACGTACTTCATAACAGGATCAAACAAAGGAAGTTTTAGCTGTCCAACTTTGGCCTAAAATTCTTGACCAAATATTTCAAAATACTTTATTTTTAAAAAAGTACTTGGAGATTGGGAGGTAGAGGGTGAAGAAGACAGAATGAGAGAGAAAGAACAAGAAAACCCATCAAACTGATTCCACATCAGTTCCAAGAACACAATTTTTACTTTACTACTTTTACTTCAAAACTGTGAAATCTAGACTAGGCCCCCATTCGCCTGTGAATTTTGATTTTTCCTTATATATGTAAAAAGAGAATAAGGATAGGACAATATCTGGTACTGAGCATTACTAACCAGTACTGTTCATTCACATCTTACCTATTTCAAAACATGCATTAGCACCTCTGTCCAGAAGAAAACGCACTACCGCAGAGTCAGCCATACTGGCAGCACACATCAGGGGAGTCCAATCAAACTGAATCCTAGATTCTATGTTTACACCTGTCAAAATTTAAGATCCTAAAATCGTAAAACTGCACCACAATAAACATACTTGTTATAAATTTTATACTCAATACGTATCACTACAAAGGTTACACACTGTGTTTAGTCCTAGAGAGAGAAGTTTCTTAAGACCATTTTTATGTTTCTAATACACTTTTATCTAGGACACCAGCAAATAACTTTTAGAACTGATGCTAAGGAAGCTCAGTTCTCAATTCAGGAAGTTCTGTACCACAGAAAGACTACAATGAAATTATTTTTACAGCTAAATTTATTACTTAGATGATTTTCTTTTTTTTTCACGGAAGTGCGCAGAATCTCCATTTTCTCCACTTATGTGCAGTAACTTTCTTCAATCAAAATGAAAAATTTTGATTCTTTCCAAGCCAAGCTATGGAAGCAAATTGTTTGTCAGGTAATTAAGATCATCCTGACTAGGGTTTTCCTGTTTCACAGCTCCTTTTATTCTCTGCCTTGAAAGACAGTTAATTAACAGATACCAGTTTTGCGTTCCGTGCTAACAAAATACCATCTTGATAGAAAGAAGATTGTGCAAGATCCAGTCACAATCACCAGATTTGTTACCCTTTACAATAGCCACATCTTCTTTTATGGCTAGAAGAAAACTTGCCAGAAAGCCCTCCCAAATTCACCAAGTACCAAGCACCAGCCTGAGATACTCATCTGACAACTTTCAGATAACAATTTCTATACATTTTGCAGTAAGAGGAATCATCTTTCCTTCAATCCTTCCTCAAATATTACTTCCTCTACAACAGTTTCTATCAGCTGGTTCTATATTAATCAGAAAGTGATTATGGATTATCAAAAATACTTCTTTACACAAGACAGCTTTAAAAAAAACAAAATAAAACAGCACAAAAAACCCCATCTCCTAAGAAACTTGTGACAGTTGAGCTACATGCATACCTTTTCATACACAATGTGCATTTACCCTCCCTGTCTTGGTAGTTTGTTAAAGCCATGCTCAGTGTAGCAACATAGTCATCAAAGTTAAGTGAGTAACAAGTCACTGCTGTTGGATTTATTCTTCGGCTGTTTAAGATAACTGAAGTCGCAGAAGCAATCAGTAAAGAAGGAACATTCAATGAAAGCCAGGTGTTGAAGCATTCTAACACCTCTTAACACCCACAAGCCACAGAGTTCATGATTAATCCCTTTTTAGTAATGCATACATACTAGCCACAGTCTTTCATGCCACAGCATTCCAGTTTGCCTGCAGTACACAAAACCATCTAGAGTCTGAAAGGAAGATAAGGAAAGGATAACTCAAACAGTAACAGTCATGTTGCTACTTGGCTACATGGTTATCACAGCTGTTGACTGAACTAGAAGATGTCTCCCCTTGGTTACTATCCAGACCCTCTCATGACATAAGCTGTTCCTCAAGTAAGCAGCATTATTTTAGCATTTAAAGAAGTCTTATAAGGCAACAGAGAAGCCCAAAAAAAAATCTGCAGTGAAAAATCAGGCCAGATCCAATAGCCAGAGTTGGAAGTACAGCTGCCACAGCTCTATAACCCAGTGTCCAACCAATACTGATGCTGAGCATGTATTCCCAGCAAGCACACACCGGCCACACTGATCAACACAGACATAGCACTCATATGAGCTCACACAGCAGCACTGGTTTTATACTGCTCCCCTTTGGGATATGTCTATCTCTTCCAGCTGCTGGCATCGCAGACACACAGGCCTCTGCGCCCCAGTCCCACTCCTACGGCTGGAACATCCTTTCACTCCTGTCTTTACAGTCGCTGGCACCCAGGCAAAAGGGACCCCATTACAGCCTGGGGTCCCTTCCTCTGAGTCCATAATGTGCGTTCCTGCCCATCCTCAGGCTTCTCTGATCCTCTGGGCTTGTGGAGAATGGCTTGTAATGGGCTGATGATTCCCATGATGGGCAACGGAAGATCTGGGCCAGGGTATTTGGGCTCCCCCACCTGCCATTATCTCACTGTGTGTGTGGGCATCAGCAGAGGAGCTTTTCAGTCACATATCCTCACAAATTATGTCTGGACAGCGAAGTGGATGGAACATTATTTCTTACAATCTGAGTTACACGTAAATATCCTCCTCTTTAATCAGCAATAGGGAGAAATATACTGTGGCCCCAGAAGAGCTCTACAGCAGAAACTGTATGAAGCATATGAATAAATGAAGCAAAAGAGAAACAAAGCAAGAATTACATTCTTTACATTACAGTTTCTCTGGTATTTCTTTCAGATATTTTGTTGACTGTAGCTAAAAACACTTACGGTAGAAAGGCTGTTTTTATAGAGAAAAATGTAACCTCAAGTTCAGAAAGGTTAACAAGGGAATGCCTGAAGAATTACAAGCAACCTCTACATACAGCTCTTTATGCTAAATAATTTAATGTTTGACACCAAAATAAAAGAAGTCTCAAAACTCCTAAGTTTAAGAACAGCTCTTAGTATTACAATTTATTCACATTCAGACCCAATTTACCTGAGGGAAAAGTCGTAAAATGCTTTTGTCTACAAGACTTCTCTCGTAATAGATATACTGATTTCTGAGTTAAGACTGCTGATGTCTCCCACTGCTAGGCCAGCTATGGTTCTCATCTGATTCAGGGTTCAAAGTCCTAAACTGGCTGAAAAAATTATTCACACCTGCCTCAGTTTACTACTGCTTTAATTCCTTGAACTGGCTCACGAAAGATCAGATGAGCTTTAGCACTCATGCAAGGATAAGAGTAGCACAGACTGCTGAATGGCTGAATGAAAACAAGAAGAGGATTGCACTGTAGCTACATCTTTGATCAGCCTAAACTGTCATAAGGTCGTAATTTTTAATTCCATTTGAGGAAAACACATTTATGAATTACACGGTTTTAAGTATTTTACTCCCAAAGCAGACCAATAAACCCAAGTCCTATCTGAACCTGTTACTTGCTTGCATTACTTTATGTGACACACACTTTAGAAAATTGTTCTTAGTATGCTGCCATTTTATAGGAGGGATTAAGAGAAGACATTGTGCTTGCCCATCCCCTAAAGGAGCTCTGTAAAACTGCCTCAGCACCAGATTCTTAAAGCAGTATCTAAGCAAGCCAGAAGACAACATGTTCACACTCTATCTGAAAGAATGGCCCTAACTGTTGCTAGGAAATATGCTTCCAGCACAAACTGAGGTTGATTGAGTGGTGGTAGCAAGCCTCCTACAAGCTCTACTGACCATACACTAAGGCAACTTTGAAGGCAAAGATTTAATCTGACTGAGCATCAATCCTCTGAAGGACAATGTTACCTTTCTTCAGAAACACCTCCCTGTTAGAGGCATTGCGTTCTACTGCTTTGCAGGACGGTACTGGATGATTCAAAATTTACTGTTAGTGCTATTTTCAGGAAATGACAGATTCTCTTTGTGATACTGTCTTGTGCATTTCAGGAGACAGGACACAGACTACAGGAACCTCTGGCCTGACCTTACACTCTTAGAGATACTTATCACTATCTTCCCATGGCATAGAACTGCTCAGTATGTAAGAGGCATCAACACAGAAAGTGAACTACTGCTGTTGGGCTGCAATACCAGCAACTAAATATGGATGGCAACAGCAAAACAATTAGGTAATTTGATGCACAGATATTGCAAAAAAACTCTATAAAAAGATCATATTTTCCCAAAGAAAGACAGAAGACGTATTTCACTCTGTATTACACTTCTGTGTTTCAGTCTGTCCAATAGTTTTTACTTAATTTAAAATCATTCCTCCACTGTGGTGAGAAACACTCGTCTTCCAAAAGGGCAAGGAATGCCATCGTTTTATCTCAGAGAAACTCACTGCTAACTAGGAAACTATTTTCTTCCTGCCATAAGACAGATTCTCCTCAGAGAATAAGCTCTTGGTTACAATATTCTGCTTGCTTGCTCAAGCAGAACTTCCTGACAATTATCACTAGGCAGGTCAACTCAGCTATGCAGTTTCTGATTGCCCTGGATGCTTCAATAAGTGATCCAATCGTCCTAACACTGAATAACACATTACACACAATTACAGAGAAACAGAACAGGGAGAAAGGCTTTTAGTTTTAAGACAAACTACTTTTTAGTGACAAATGCCACATAAACCCTATTAGACCTTTCAGAAACACAGAATCTTTGTCCAGCTGATGTTGCCAGGACAGCGGTATTATACAGGGCACATACCAGAAACTTAACAGTGCTGTGACTGAGAAAAATACAAAAATGGGATTTTCAAACTGGGGGAACATTATAAGGAAAAAAAAAACAGCCTCCCCTTCCTGCTAACTTCTCCCCCAGAAACCTTCAACATTAACATAAAACTACCCACTGAACTCTCACTCTCAATTTAAACCACCTCAAATTGTTTGTTATTTTCTGGTTAAAGATGCATCTGAAAACAAACACCTTATTTCACACTTCACAGGCTACAGTTTTATCAGTTTTTCAGTGCTCCTGACTGATGAAAGGAATAGAAATTAGAAGGACTTTGCTGGAATACTGGATGCTGAGTCACTGAAAAAGTAATTTGATTTTTAAAGTTAAGAGTTTGTATCCTGTATTGGAAATATTCACATACTCCTACATGCACTCTGCATGTTACTTTGAAACAAGAAACCGAAGCTTTAGAATTCTTGCCAAGTTTAATTAAAAAATTCAACTTCATAACTGACTTTCCTTACCGGAATTTAAGAGTTCTTCAATTAATGACACATCACCATGAAACAGAGCCTTCCTTAATGCTTCATTCTTGTCCGCCTGCAACATTTGATCCAACTGCTATAGGTAAAGAAAAATTATGTCAAAACCCAGTACCTGTTTTAAGGTAAAAACTAAAGCTTGATTTCAGTATAAAAGCACCAATGATCTCTGTAAGTACAAAGCAGAGAAGAGGGAGCAAGGCAGAACTTTTATTCTTACATCTCTGTATACCTGCTATGGGTCTAATGTAAATCTGACTTTTTAGAAAGGTTCCATTCTCTGAAAATACCTTCTTTCTCAACATACCTACTATCCTCCTATGCTGCTCTCATTTTTTGTTAATGATGTTTAATTTCAGTTAAGATTATTTTTCATCTTTTGGTGTAGAAAAACTTTACAACAGATTTCTGTACCTTTTTTGTACATGTCACATGCTGGAATCACAGCATTAAAATATATATCTATCAGATACAAAAACTGAGAGGCTGGGACAATGCAGCCCTGTGACTAGCTGTCTGGCTTAATACAGCACCAATTCACAGCTGGCAAAGGTTACTGTTCCTCTTTCCTGCCACTCTTGCTGTGGCAGAGGTATTTGTGCTGTTGCATTATGAATGATTTAGCTCAAAAAGGCCCTGACCAAAAGACTAGTTTATGCATCACAGTTGCCCGACTGAAGTTTCTTTCAAAACCATCACGGACTCGGTCTCTATCAAAGCTACAGATGCAGCTGAAGCTCACTGCTGGTGTTATCTAGATTATACAAAACCTGTAAGTGGAAAACTATTCACTAATTTCTTTGCAGACATAAGTGGGTATGGCAAGAAGTCCTATTTCACAACAGGTTTTGACGTCATGAGAACTGAGAATTACAGTTTTCCCCAGCACATTGTAGTCTTTCTTTCCAACATTTTTTGTAAAGGTTCTACTAAGTGCTTAGTGTCTAGAAAAACCAATGGTCGAGACACAGCCAATATCATAATTTAGCCCTATTGTCCTACTCAGCCAACAATTTCCAAGTAACACGTATCTCTGAAGAGACACCTCAGTTCAAAGATCAAAAACCTGAAAACCTTACTATAACCTTCAGCAAATTTTGAGCTACTTCCATTCACCAGTTCCAGCCACGAGGCAAACCAAGGGCCAATGTGCCTTGCAGATCTGCCTCCACCTCACACTACCAGATGCCTCACACCTGTGAGATACAACAAAACCACTTCAGTCTTCACATTCACAGCAAACAAGTCTCACAGTTTTTAAACAGCTTTATAGGCCTCTGGTTGCTTTCAAATTTATTCTCACGATGAAATAAGGGCTGGATCTGTTGTTAAGAAGTGTTTTATATACACATTAAGGTTTTATGCCGGAAGACACCCACCAAAACTTTAGTTTGGGGAGAGGTGGGTGGGTGCGGGCTGTAGTAGAGGTTTTCTGTACTCCTCTATTGAGGGTACACCACCACTACCCTGCTGGGAAATAACCACAGAATGGTCACCAGCCGCAGCCCCTCCTCAGTGAGACCCACCGAGCCCCACGCTCTTACCGCGGCATCAGGCCGCACTGCCGCACTCCCCCGCTCCGCGCCCTCCCCGACACAGACCCCAGCTCGCCCCAGCTGGCCCCACCAGTGGCTCCTGCCGCACTACACCGATATCCCAGCCGTCCTCGTCGCTGTCGCTGTCCTCGTAGCCCCCCGCCACGGCACGGATTTCCCACTGCGCGGCCGCCATAGCTCCCCGCTCCGCACGCATCGCCTCGACCCGCCGCCAGCGCCCAGTCACGTGGCCCACCCCACTTTCCCGCGCGCTGCGGCTTGGCGGCGCAGGGGCTGTCGGTGCCCCGAGAGCGGGGGGCGAGCTGCGGGCTCCCCTCCCTCTCTTCCCCCCCCCGGACGTGAGCGTCTGTTCCTGGGGCGGGCAGTCGGGGTTGGTGAGGGGAGGGGAAGGGGATAGCTCGGGCGCTGGTGGCGGCGGCGTTCTGTGTGTCATCCACAGGCAAAACTGTTTTTTGAGCTCAGGCTTTGCCCCAGTCTGGAATGAATTTGGTCTTCCACTGAGCAGAAGTGAACAGAAGGGAAAAAGTCTGGTCTTCCAGAAGAGGCAGGTGCACATGGGGAATGGTGAATGTAGTTCTTGTGCCCATGGCAACATAAAAGTGTAATTTTTAGGAAGTTCATATTAACAAAAAATTCACCTATCTTAACCAGAAGGGGACTGTGAAGCAATTCTTCCTTTTTTTCTTTTTTCTTTTTTTTTCTTTGTGTTTGGTTTTGGGTATTTTTTTGGTGCAATGCAGTGTGTAAGGCAGCTCTTACCGTCTTGGGAATCTGCAGGTTAGATAGAGCTGTACTTGGAATGTACTCAGTGCTATAAAAATTGCACTTACTAAAAATAATGTGAACAGCCATAGTCCACATATTTCAATTGTGCACTCCTGACATTTTTAACAGGAGTGATTTTTCTAGATTTTTGTTGCTTGTCTGTAAAATATGGCAACCTATTTACATAAAAGTATAATGCAAGTCAGGTTATTAACAATGAGAAACTCTGGTATATAGCTAGCTGAACATTTTAAATGAACTCCCATGAAAGAAACTTCCAGTTATGGAAACATGATAGAAATGCAAAAAACGTTTCTTTTCACACAGCCTCCTTGGAGAGAACAAAAGATGCTAAAATCAGGTCAACTGTAATACGTACCTCTATATAAAGGCGTAGCTTCATGTGCTTATTTGGGATTTACCTGCATATACTAAAAGTCTGTTTAAATTAGTAATGAAGATAGAACATCTACTGGGTATAATAATGAAACATTTTTGTACCCATGTGAGTTTTTATAAAATCGTTGTTCTCAGAGTTTTCGGCTTTCTGATTACTACCCTGAAGGTCTGTGGTGTCACTTTCCACCTGCAAAGGAAAAGTAGAATATATGGCATTGTCACCTAGCTTCTTTGTATCTATGAGTCTATCAGTCTTTGACATTATGGTCTCCATGTCCAGGATCAAGCTTCCACAGTGCTCTTTGTTTGCCTCAGCTGTGTTACAGAGCATGGGCTTACTAGGAAAATTTCTGTCTCCAGCTGCTGAACTCTAATGACAGTGGAGTGTGACTTCTTACAATTGACCCAATGCAGTGTAAGAGAGTTGTTTCTAACCGGTGGTGACACTATCTACAGATTTGTTACTTTTAATACACTACCAATTGTTTAGTATTTAATAATTGTGATTTATTTATTCTGATTCAGATATCAAAGTTGGGGATTGGTTATGTTTGTTTTTTTTTGTGCCCTTTTCTCTGCACCATCTCATGTACAATTTTAAATGTCACAACAGACACTTCAAATACAACCTGTGTGTTGCTGCTTTGCTGAAAGGCCACCTCTTTAAAATGGTCACTTTCAGTAATAGGTCTGATAGTCCTAGTACTAAAAAAAAACAAAACACCTCTTTCACAAGCTTATGATGCAGAAGAGCCTTGCAGCCAGTGTGCATCATAGCCGTTTCAAATGTAAACATGCCAATCATGCAGAAGTTGATAGCAGGTGATTTCTACTTCTGTGTTTTGTTAGAACTGTAAATCAAATGTTATTGTTGGTGTGGGCGCACCCTCTTCGTTTTCACATTCTGTGATCAGTTCATTTATGACCTTGAAGTCTTTCTTCATTTTTTAGCTAATCAGACTCTTCATTTCAGTTGACAGTGTGGTAATTCCTGGCTGTCATCCATACTTGCCAAATATCAGTATGTTTTTTCTTAGTCTGGTAGAAGCAGTTCCCAACATCCTTTCCACATTGCTATGCAGTACTTGTTTTACATGCAGGAAACAATTACAGAATGGCTCAAGTTGGGAAAACATCTCAGAGTAATTTCATGTATCACAAGGAGCATCAGAACAAGCACTGAAAGCCAACCCTGAAATAAATACCAAATCTGTGCATAGCCTAACTCTGGGTACTTACATGTCAGCCTATATTCAACATACCTATTAAAAATACAGTGAATAGTAAAGGTAGAAGTCACTGCATGAAGTAACAGTATTCATGTAAGAACCTGTTTTGCTCTGAATGATGTAACTTCCTTAAAACACTTTCCATGTGTCTTCAGGCACCCTTCTTGCCAGCCATACCTGCATTTAGACATCAGCTTGTTCGCATTCATCAGCTGACTTTTAATCTTCTCTCATTACTTCTGGTATTAGATAGATTTCATTAGTTGTCTGAATTTCTTCAGTATTTTTATCTATATCTCATGTTGTGTCTCATGTGAGACTGATATATGCATAGCTAAACATTTTTATTCAGACGTGGTTGCTGGAATATTCCAGAATGTTTTAACTTGTTCAGTTTCCTCTGTTTCAGACCAAAAGGATGAATCAGCAAATATGTACAGGCTTTGACGCTGGGAAAGTAATGTTCTTGGAAGGAGAATCTGAATTGGTAAATGTTTAAAGATAATGATTCTGTAAACCTTAACTGCTGCAATAAAGTTCTGCTAACAGCACAGCAGCTAGTACTTGAGAGATTTAAGAGCAATAATAGCATTTTTGTGGAATTCTGCATAGTTCTCTATTACAGCTGCTAGTTTGAGTAACAGTCTACACCCTTTCAGTATTACTCTCATGTAATTTTCTTGTGTGGTAACATTACTTAAGAGTAAAAACCGAGTGATTCTTTGTCCTAATGTCAATTGACAAAACTTCACCAAACTGCAAGACAACTGATACAAGGCCTTTTGAGCCCATTTCTTTTGTGTTTTCCTAATTTGTGTGGAGGAGGAAACAAGTCCTTGTACAACCAGTGTGCACTCCATAAAGAAGAGATTTAGTAATTGTAAGAGAGTCTCATTACCAGAGAGGCTTAGTAGCTCTGGGTCTACTGAATTGACAAATTACCAGTACATTTTCAGCTGGGGAATGGTACCAGCTGTACGAATTCCATGGTTAAGGGCAGGACATCGTGCAGGAGTTTGCATAATTTGCAAGAAATCCATAACATAGCACAAATGATTACAATTTCATAGGTCACATTCATGAAACAAATGAGAAACAAAGTACTTGACAGTAGTTGTTGTTAATTGATAATGGTTGTCCTAGATAAATTTTCGATTGACTTGTATATGTCTGTAACATCTCTTATTTTTAAGGTATTTCAACTCTTATTTTTAAGGTATAAGGAAGTATATATAAGGATATATATACTTACATATATATAAGTATATATATATAAAAATATATATACTTATATAAGTATATATGTAAGGATATATATACTTCCTTATACAAGTATAAGGAAGGGATAATATTATAGCCTTTCATTCCAGACTGTAAGTTGTCTATTCTTGAAGAAGCACTGATCTGTGTCCTTTCTGTGCTCTGTGAAATCACCCTTTATGTTAAATAGTTTTAGTTTTGCCATCCTGAAATTTTATTAGGAGCTGCTGCACTACAGCAAATTTATTTATTGAGTTATTTCAGTCGTTCTAATGGACTTAAAATAGATGGAAAACATTTAATTTCAGCTGGTTTGCTTCTGATAATGTGTTTTGGTTTTTTACAGCTGTATTTGTCCTGTCCACTTTGCCAAATCTCTCTGGATAGCATATGATGCTAAACTTTCAATCTGCTGCCTAAAGCTTGAGTATAAATTGTATAACAACCGATTTCTTGTTCATAAAATTTGTTTTCTGCTAGAAGCCATTGTCAAAATAGACCACATGAACTTACTAGTGTGGAATTCATGGGCATGGTGTACACCTGAATCCTATTCAGGGACTCCTAGATGCCAGTGCCATGAAAACATCTCTTCTCACCATAGTAGTATATAAACCCCCACCCCCCACCCCAGAACAGGAATTAGGAAGTTGAAGATGATAATTTATTTTTTTTTTTTTTAGTGTCAGGCACATTTTTAGCTGCTTTTTACATAACCTAGAAGTTTTGCTCTGTATAGCAAGTCCATGGCAGAATGATTCCTGCTATTACCAGTACAGTCAGGTCTTGGGATCCTCCTGTCACTCCAGAAGTACAAATGGGTTCTGCCACTTGACAGCTTGATGACATCAGCGTACATCATGCACTGGTGTCTACTAGAGCCTTGTACTTCTGTGGCTGTGACGTGCCAGGCCGTCTGATCCACGCAGTCCAGTAAACCCAGTTGTCCCTCTCCTTCACCTCTCTGGGGACAGGGCCCCTTTTAGTGCTGGTCAGAGGATTCTCCAATTGCTTCTTGTAAAAGCAGATTAGAATTATTTACGACAGGGTCAGGGGTAAGACCAGCCCTCTCACTCTGACTGGGAAACTGCCCTTTGGAAACTGGAACAGCAATTTTCCTTAGAGAACATCAGTTTTGTGATTGTTTTTCTTTGGAATTCATGTACCTCTGCCTCTAGGGATGAAGTGGATTTTCCATGCCACTTCTTCATGTCCTTTCCGTGCTCCTCAGATAAAACCACAGGGTACCCTATATCCTCTCCCTTGAGCAGAAGAATGCTTACTGTTAATAGCTGAGATGCTGGTCTATACAGATGTTTTTGTTGTTGGAACTCTTGCAACAGTTTTTTAACACCAGTTCAGTTTTTCTACAACTGACTGCGCTTGTTCAGGGGTGAAGTTACAAAATACTGGAGGTGCCCACTGGCCTAGGTACTTACCTATACTATCCCACTCACCCTGCCACTCAGAACTGTCCAGCCCTGGGACTGATCTCTGGGTGGTAATTTTAAGTAGTTGTTTAACCTTAAACAAGACCTGAAACACATTCAGCAACATGCTGATTCTT